ATTTCATCAAGATATTTTCCAGTATTTAGAAGATTTCTAATGATTTTTGCATTTGCATTCCTTCAAAATTGATACATACCATTCACATTATTACAGTAAGTTGTACATGTATACGTTTTAATTTCATTACACAATATAGTCTTGAATTTGTTTACTTAATTAAGTAAGATCAAGTAAATGAAAGGTGCCTACAGGTTTCTATAATTCAAGAAACATATTGCATTGAGCATTATAACCATGAAATGTATAAATTGAATTAAGATTATTTCGGCATGATTTTAAATTGAATTCTGTGAATTTCAAAATGCAGTATTTTGTACCATTTGTATTGAAGTTGTAAAGTACGGGAAAAATGGCATTGAATTAATTATGACGTCATAATGGATCTAACAAGACTAAACAATTTCATTAGTTATGATGTCATACGACGTAGGTTCTACGTTAACGAAAGTTTTTTTGAGGAAATTATTCAGGATAAACGTTGATTATGAAGGGTTTACTAAAGGACCAGTCCTAAGTTTCCATTTGAATATTAAATTCAAGATTATAAGAGTTCATTCTAAGTTTTCCCCCAAACTTCAGAAATAAATATATGAGAAGTGTAAAAAGAATAGGGATAATTTATGTTTAGTAAGTCCACCGCTACACTCTCAAGATTTTGATAATATTTTGGAATTGAATGAAAAGAAAAAAAGTACAGTAATCGAGCACATTTCATACTTATTGTTAGGCCATTATTGACACGTTGAATTGAGTATTAATTTTCCCGTTATTTCCCGATCATGACAAGGAGCATACAGCTGGTGTGACCTGTTGGCAGGGGATGCTCATTCCACCATTGCACCTGATCTCACCTCACCTCTGATGTTTTGGAGGTCTTTGTTTGCTCTGCTCATATTTTATAATGTATATAGACTTTGAGCTTGAATATTATTCAAATTCTAATCGATTTATGGACGCAGGGTTTTTTGCGATATTTTCGCATTTTGCAATTGAATCACTATTCATTATAATTACAAAAGAATACATGAACATACTTTTAAAAAAAATCACTAATTCTTTACATAAATGGCATAGTCGTACATATTGATAAACGAAAAAGCACATGTTCTGAAAAGCAGAGGAAACTTTGGTCGATACAGTCGAACTACGCACCATTTATGAGAATAAATATGCCGTTATTTTTTTTTTGTCAGTTTTCTTGATTGAATAACCGATTAACAAAAAAAAAAAAAGAAATTTCAGAATAGTAAAATACTTTTAAGAGTTCCTTGAAAATTTAAAACAATTTATTTACATCGATTAAATGATTTCGGTATAATGTTATGTTTGATTTATAGTGTCAACATAATTCTAGAACTGTTGTTCTATACAAAATACACATTTAAATATTTTTTCAAAAAAATGATACAATGTATTTTTATTGCAACTACCAATTAACCATTAAATGGAAGTGTGAAAACAAATTATTTGTCTTTGTTCCTTCATTCGCAAAGTTCGGCGAGGGTCTTGGATATAACTGGTTTTGCTAGGTGAAACCCTAATTAAGTGCTCTCGATACCTTTTAGAATTGAAAGACTGTAGAATTGTTTAATTAATTATGTATCAGATAGAGAAAATATATATATGTTTCGATTTTCTCATTATCACAGATCTAATATTGTGTCTTTAAGATTTTTACTGTGTCGCACGCATAAAATTTGAATTGTTACTGTGTTGGAGAAAATTTTACTGTGTCGGGACCAACACAGTAAAATAGCTCATGGAAAACTCTGTTCACATTGTCAATATACATAATCACATTTTTACGTAATCAATATTGCCATTATTCGAAAAAGGTTTAATTTTATTCAAAGAATAGCAAAAAGAATATCAGGGTTCATATGCATAAAAATTCTTATTCTGCTAAGTATATTCTCAAGTGCCGATTTACCTTAAGCAGAGTGACGTTTTTACTTAGTACGTCACTTTACGTTGTAAGTGGATTGCATGAAGTTTCTTATACTTACTTATATGTCTTAGAATATGCTTAAAGTTAAACAACCCCTCACCTTGTCTAAAGTTTTTAAGCATTTTGCTTACCACAGCAAAATGGCTGCAAGACAGCAAAGACAACGCCGTGTTTTTAAGCCGAGATTAGATCCCTTTACGGAATACAATGCTGTGGGACTTATCACACGCTACCGTTTTGATAGACAAGGAATTGAACATATCGGGACGCTGATTGACGATTTCGTTTCACCAGCAACAAGTCGAAATTGTAGCATACCAACTAATCTACAAGTCATGATAGCTCTTCGCTATTTCGCAACAGGAAAAATGCAGTTATGTAACGGGGATGACTTCGGATTCACCAATCCACTGTGTCTAGGATTGTTCAAAGGGTCTCTACAGCCTTAACTCGACCGCATATCATTCAAAGATACATAAAATTTCCTACCGACGCTCAGACAATTCACCGGCACCAGACAGACTTTCACGCAATCGCCAATTTCCCGGGAGTGCTCGGCGCTATCGACGGGACCCATGTTAGGATATTGCGTCCTACAGTTAATGAAGAAGAATTTGTTAATAGAAAAAACTTCCACAGTGTTAATGTGCAGCTTGTCGTGGACGCACATTGTCATATACAGGACATAGTCGCCAAGTGGCCAGGGTCAACACATGACGCAAGAATTTTGCGAGAAAGTGGCATTAGCCAATTATTTCAAACACCCGGACTAATTCCTGTTTAATGTCACCTATTCGGTGATAGTGGTTATCCGTGCAAAAACTGGATCCTGACTCCCTTCCTTAACCCTGCAACCCAACAGGAAAGAAGATACAATGGGTAAATGTCTTATCTAATAATCATGTAATACTGCGAACTTTTTTCTCGCGATTTTTCAACATCTACATATTTCCAGGTTAATTTACAGTCAATTACCGAATTATCGCCATTCGAAAAAAAAAAACCCAGAAATAATATATACGGGTAAGTTAGAACATACCCTTCCCCTAATTATTTCATACATCTTCATTAATCAATTATTTATTTATTTTTCATTCATAGATCACACAAGGTGACGAGGTGCATTGTGGAGAGAACCATTGGACAATGGAAAAGACGTTTTCACGTACCACATTCTGAGATAAGGTTGTGTCCAGAGAGGGCTTGCAAGATTATCATGGCTTGCGCCGTACTTCATAACTTAGCAAAATTGCTCAACACGCCAATCATTGACGAGGATGGAGAAAACGACGATGATTCTGATGAGGGCAGTGATGAAGATGATGCTGACAACAACTGTGTCCCTGACAATCTGGATGGTAGAGCATACAGAAATCACATTACAATGAATCATTTCTAGAGTCAACACTTATTAGCTCACCTGAGCCGAAGCTTTTCTGATCAAAATTTGTCCGTTGTCTGTCGTCGTCGTCGTCCTTGTTGTTGTCGTAAACTTTTCACATTTTCATCTTCTTCTCAAGAACCACTGGGCCAATTTCAACCAAACTTGGCACAGAGTATCCTTGGGTAAAGGGGATTCAAGTTTGTTCAAATGAAGGGCCACGCCCTTTTCCAAGGGGAGATAATCATGAATTTGTTAAAAATTAATGGCATTTTTAAAAAATCTTCTCCAGAACCGCTGGGCCAGGAAAGATGAAACTCATGTGGAAGCATCCTCAGGTAGTGTAGATTCAAGTTTGTTCAAATCATGACCCCCGGGGCAAGGGTGGGGCCAAAATGGCCGACCCAAGTTTTACATAGGAATATATAGGAAAAATCTTTAAAAATCTTCTTCTCCAGAACCACTGGGCCAGGAAAGATGAAACTCATGTGGAATCATCCTAGGTAGTGTATATTCAAGTTTGTTCAAATCATGACTCCCGGGGCAAGGGTGGGGCCAAAATGGCCGACCCAATTTTTACATAGGAATATATAGGAAAAATCTTTAAAAATCTTCTTCTCCAGAACTACTGGGCCAGGAAAGATGAAACTCATGTGGAATCATCCTCAGGTAGTTTAGATTCAAGTTTGTTCAAATCATGACCCCTGGGGGTAGGGCGGGGCCAAAATGGCCAACCAAATTTTTACATAGGAATATATAGGAAAAATCTTTAAAAATCTTCTTCTCCAGAACCACTTGGCCAGGAAAGATGAAACTCATGTGGAATCATCCTCAGGTAGTGTAGTTTCAACTGTATTCAAATCATGACCCCCGGGGCAAGGGTGGGGCCAAAATGGCCGACCCAAGTTTTACATAGGAATATATAAGAAAAATCAAAAATCTTCTTCTCCAGAACCACTGGGCCAGGAAAGATGAAACTCATGTGGAATCATCCTCAGGTAGTGTAGATTCAACTGTATTCAAATCATGACCCCCGGGGCAAGGGTGGGGCCAAAATGGCCGACCCAAGTTATACATAGGAATATATAAGAAAAATCAAAAATCTTCTTCTCCAGAACCACTGGGCCAGGAAAGATGAAACTCATGTGGAATCATCCTCAGGTAGTGTAGATTCAACTGTATTCAAATCATGACCCCCGGGGCAAGGGTGGGGCCAAAATGGCCGACCCAAGTTTTACATAGGAATATATAAGAGAAATCAAAAATCTTCTTCTCCAGAACCACTGGGCCAGGAAAGATGAAACTCATGTGGAATCATCCTCAGGTAGTGTAGATTCAAGTTTGTTCAAATCATGACCCCCGGGGCAAGGGTGGGGCCAAAATGGTCGACCCAAGTTTTACAAACGGGATATACAAGGAAACCTTTTAAAATCTTCTTTTCAAGTACTTCAAAGCTATGATTAGTGATATTTATATGGAATCATCCTCAGGTAGTGTAGATTCTAATTTGTTCAGATGATGAACGCCTGGAGGGGGGGGGGGATAAATTCAAGCCCGATGTGCTCAGGTGAGCGCTGTGGCCCCTGGGCCTCTTGTCTATTATTTTACCATCATCAAATATAATTTATTTTCAGTATAAACATTAATGTTTGAAAAGGAATAAAAGTTTTATAAGTCCTTTTTATTAAAGTCTCTCAGTTGTTGCTTCAGAAGGGCATTTCTCAGACGGAGGTTCTCAACTTCGAGTTGAAGTTTCTCTCTGGCTAGGTTACATGTATTTGTAGTTTCTCTTGGAGAATTTGGCGGCATCGGGAAGGTCGAGATACGCAGTGACACGTCTTCTTGGATAATGGGCTGACTCGTGCACGTTGAGAGCTGTGGGTCGAGCTGAAAATCCTCACCACTCGGCTGTTTAAAAATAATTTTTAAAGAATTATACTCGTCATTTATGAACATCAAATTATTGATTTACTATTTTAAAAAAATTAAAATCAGTTATGAACAGGCAATACCGAGATTTAAAAAACAGTAATAAAGTTGACTGACACTTAAGAAAGCCTTACCCTTGCAGTGAACTCGATGGAATGTCCTCCATCCCCCTGTTGAAATTGTTAAACGTCATCAAAGAGGAATCAAAGGCCCCAGATATTCCGCAGATAGAAACATTTTCCTCACCAATTACCTCCTCAACCGCTTGTGACAATGCACTTAATGGTTTCTCTACCGGTCCTCCACCTATGTAAATTGAAGCATTTTATTTTTATTTAAAATTTGTTTTTTGTTGCTTTCAAAAAGATATATCCATTATTTCATGTATTTGAAAAGTTACATTTTCTTTATCAAAGAAATACCGGGGATCACTTTAGCTGAGAAAGTCATATTTTTTCACTATATGGCTTGATAATTTTCGAGCTGATTGTAATTAACAATATGATTTTTTTCTGTTTCTGGACAAATCATTATTACATAGATCTACGCACTTGTTTGGAAAATATAAAAGTTCTTCGCGGTGTGCACAATCTAATTAAAAGTAGATGTTAGATCCGATGTTAGTGTAGCGAGTATGCGAGAGGATTTACTATTTATTAGATTGTGTATTTAAAGTATTTTCGGTAAATATTGGTCGGGGGGGGGGGGGGGATTATAAAAAAAATAAAGGTATGGATATTCTCGCACGGGCCTTTAGGGTACACACAGTGACACCATGACCAATAATATACTAATAAATCAAAATTAAACAATCTGCATGATTACCAAGGTCGTCTGAATTTGCGTAAACTTTCCAAATTTGACAGTCTACTCTTTCAGTCTTTGACACCTATCTTTTGTTATTCGAATTTAAACGACCCAAAAGGCCTACGGTACAGTATTAGACATGTAACTTTGGTACTAAATAAAACCGCGGAACATTAACTGGCAAAATTGGAAATACACAGCTTACGTCATTTCTATCTGTTACAATCAAAACATTTAGTGATAGACAATGAAATGGGCGGGTACAATTGGACGCGGACGTGGGGAAAACAGCGGATTGAAATTGCAGATCAAAATTCATTTTCAATCCACCGCAGCTACGCTAGAAGGCACATTATTATTGTTTGATCCAGAAGACAAATAATTTGAATTTTGGTACAGTTTGAATTTTTTTTGTCCAGTGTTTTAAATAAATTAATATTTATGGGACAAATATTTCATTTCTGTTTGGTAAATATAAAAATTATGTACATTGTTTATGTTTGTTTGTTTTTTTTTTTATTTTTTGGGGGGGGGGGGGGTTGCTGAACGATTTTTTAAATAAAGTTGTCCATTACAGTTTCCAGTAAGAATAAGTTTATAACTCATGCATTCTTATAATCCTACAAATAAAATATATTGTCATGTTAAGCCATAATCTGACTATACAAATTTTACCCCCCTTTTTTTTCTAGAATCAAATATCTCCTGATCTATGATCTTTCGCGTTCTTAAAATTATAAGCTAAAACTCGTATCAATGTGAACTTCAAACAATATGTATTTGGGAGTTGAAATTAGTTGAATTTTGGATCGTACATTCACCCTTTGTTTTGAAAACAGCTCAGGTGGATTGAAAATGAATTTTGATCTGCTATTTCAATCCGATGTTTTCCCCACGTCCGCGTCGAATTGTATCCGCCTATTTCATTGTCTATCACCGAATGTTTTGATTGAAACAGATAGAATTGACGTAAGCTGTAAATTTCCAATTTTGCCAGTTAATGTTCCGCAGTCTTAAAATAAATTTTTAATACATTATGAGTCTCTTAACTTGGAATATCAAATTTGGAATTTCACTGCTTACATCCCGTTAAAATGCCTCAATACCGACAATAGAGTTATCACCCTTATATCACTTGTATCTTAGGTACGGTAAACAACATGGCTGACATTACAAGCATGCCAAACATTTCACGAACCTGTTTTTTGCAAACTTCTTCTAAAATCAGAAATTTCTCCCCTCCCCTTCATGTAGATGTTGTGCCACTTCTTTTCGACTTCTTCTATAGTCCGGACGGTTGAAGGGTTGGCTGCATTGATTGCTTCAGTAATAGTTTTCCAAATCTCCCTCTTCTTTTGAGTGGTCACTCTGGCGCCGAATTTAGCCCTCAAAATTTTCTTATTATCGTTGAATAAACGCGTTAAATGTTAACATTCTTCCATTGTCCAGTTCGGTTTACGTTTTTTCTCTGCCATATTCAGACGATGATGATGACGTAGAACGGGAGATTCAATATCGTCAAAACCCGCAATGACGTCACACCATTGTGACGTTTTATTTTAAGCAAGTAGTGATATGCTTTGCAAAGATGCACTAAGTAAGGCACTTAGAATTTTTATGCATGAAACTTAAAGTATGTTTCTTAGTTAAGCAGTTTGATTTGGGAATAAGTATAATACTTATGAAAAAATCCTAGATTTTTTATGCATATGAACCCAGATCTATACTTTTAGATTTAAAATTAAAATTTTGATTAACTTTTCATACGACTCAGGACAGAGTATTGTCATGATTAAGAAGAGCTTCTATATATTTTTTTCTATGGCTTTAATCTTTTGATCTTTTTTTATAAACGAGTGAAAAAGTGGATGCTCTAATGCAAAGATTTTAAAATTTATAACTATCGTTAAAATCCTGAATCTTATAATCCTTTTGATTATCATCAAAGGATAAACTTAAGATAAAAAAACCCGTAAAGTATAGTGTTTTCTCCTTCATGCCAGTTTTTCCTTTTAAATGTACTATTTAATTGTACATTCCAATCATTTTCTAAATACTGCCAAGTTAAACATTTTATATTAACTATGAGTTTCAATACTTTTTTCTCAGTCTTGCTCTTTCATATGAAAATAATTTTAATTACACTCAATACGAACACAAGCAGAATAAAATACTAGTATACAAGTGTTGCACTTACATCAGACCAAAAAGGAAATAACTAAAAATTATTTTTGCAAGCCATGCATGTATCAAGTAAATGAAACATTAAAAATAGTACCATGAAGAAGTTACATGAGGACTACATGTATCACCGGACAGTTGAAATCTTAATGTAAATTATCTTAAATTCAGTCTCTTATAAATCAGATTTAAATATAAAATTAAATTATAATTTTTGAAATAACCTTTAATACCTTTCTTTTTATACCCCTCGCTTAAAAAGCGGGAGGGTATATAGTAATCGTTATGTACGTCCGTCTGCCGGTTACGCTCTGGGGTACCCATCTCTTATCCGCAACTCCTCTCATACCACTGAATGAAATTTAATGAAACTTTCACAGAATCTTTATTACATATTGCCATTGTGCACCTCCTATCTTTGATTCGACACATATTTTTGGTTTCCCATAGCAAAACATGGACACTGCCATTTTATACATGTACATATGGGAGGCAGCGGGTATCATTTAGTGAGCTCATTGCTCACAGTACCTCTAGTTTACACTGCAAAAGTACTACTCATACAAGATAATTTCCTAAATCAATTGCTCTTATCAAATCGATTTAAGGTTATTAAAAACGAGCATAATGCACATGCATTAGACCTTTTCAACTACTATTTGTTTGCTCTGTTCCTATTTTGTATTGTTTTATGGACTTTGGTATTGAATACTGTTCGTTATCTCCATATCCTTCAGAACAGTAGACACCATCGTTGTAACGAATGAAATCAGATGAAATAAGTACGTAGATGCTAAAATAGAGGTTACAAGATAATCAATTTACCCCACCTTTCACCAGAATGCACGCACGTTTTGGGGGTCCGTTTGTTTGCCCGATGCAACCAGAACGAGATTTTTTACAGTATCTGCTGTTGCAATTGGTGGCTAAGACCTGTTTGCATCTTAAGGTGTTTGGCTTCTGACATTAAAAATAATTGAAAATGATTTTTTTCTTTTTTAATTGTAAGAATAAACATAATAAATTATTTTAAGCCAGAAAAATGCATATGAATATGATTTAATTTTCAAGCTATAGGTGTTCCTGACAAAGGGAGGTAATTCTCTCATTTTAGTAAAGAAAAAGACCAAATTTGTGTCCAACATATTTAATATTTATTTTAAACTATGAAATGTTTTCAAATCATTCCAACCTTTTGCTATCTTTTAAAAGTAGTCATAGGGAATATAAATATTGATAAAATAATAATGATAATTGATAGAAGATAAAATTTAATTCTTATCAAAAAGCACACACCCTCATACAAAAAAATGCCTTTTTTTCCTTTCACAGGGCTTATAAAATGAGCTTGGAAAATAATTTAGAAATAATTAACAAGTATTTTTTTTTATATATATTTGTTACTTAGATGAAGTGCTTTCAAATGGTGTAAAAAATTGTATATCAATATGAGTTACTTTTAAAGATATTTTAACTTGAATTTCCTCTGACCCATTTTTCTCAAATTTTGACCAGAGGAAATTCGGATTGATTCTGTTTGCCTCTTCCATGATTTTGGGGGATTTTCTATTTGCCTAAATGAATAAGTGTATTGAAACTCAATCTTTTTCTTTAAAAGAAAAGGGACATTTCATTTTTTGGGGGACTATTTAAGACTTAGGGGAAAGAGGGGAGGGGGGGGGGGGGGGGGTTAATATCAATTTTCATGCCCACTCACATTACCTGAGGATAATTCTTTAATAGTTTGACTAATCATGGCTTTGCCTGTTCTGAGTTGAGAGAATTTTACAGACATTTCAAATATTTTTCTATGCATACTTTGCTCCACTTGTGGCCCATCCTTCCCCCAGGAATTATTGAATATAGGGTATGTAATGAAGCTAAATTTCACGTAAATGTCATCTTTTCTTCAGTGGTTCTTCAGAAGATTTTTGAATAATGCCACCAAAATTCTTAATTACCCCCCACTTCAAGAGGGCGAGACACTTCCTATGAACAAAGTTAAATCCCCTTAATTGAAATTGGGCCAGTTGGTCTTTCAAAGAAATAAAATATATCAAACTTTACACACCCCAGACAAAAGACCGATTGCCAGACAATCTTTGATCAGAAAAGCTCACTCGGGCTTCCGTGTCAGGTGAGCTAAAAACCACCACATAGTAATCATTTCACTATAAACGTTTCACAGCAAAATTCCAGTTATTGAAAATGAAGGGAATAAAAAAAAGACTAAATGAATGTTTTGAACTACTAGTTGTACCAATAACAGCTAGTTTAATTTGCGTCATGCAATGTAAATCTCTCTTGATTTCATTGTATCAAACAAAATGTTCTTTATTCAAGATGAAAAATGATCAACTATTTAACTTTATTCAGATCCATGTTCCTTGTGATAGAGATCTATCAAATTGTTACCTTTACAAGTAACATACAACATTTTTATATACTGTAAACATTAGATTTTTTGTGCCTTTGACAGAAAACTGCTGTTGCTATATCAAGAACATCGCTAACTTTATGACCTGCGTATTTATAAGTACACAATAAAAATTTTGCTAGAAATCAAACCTAGCCCGATTGTTGAAAAATAGATTACTGCCAAGTATAGGTCATACACAATATTAAACATTTACAGAATGTCCTTTCATATTCATTTGTGCATGTTTCAATTTAATATGCACATAGTCTTCTTCAATAAATATCAATGAACACCTTTTAATTTTTCATGTATGCTCAAAATATGGGTAATGAAAATAAATTGTTGTCAATTTCTAAATAAGGATTTATTTTGAATGGAAAGAAAATGTTTTGTTCAACTACAAACTACCTATAACAATAAACATTGAAAAAAACAATAGTACATGGCATAATTATACCCCTGCTCTGAAGCACAGGGTTTATACTGTTTTTCTTTCTACACTTGTGTGTCTTTCTGTCAGTAACAAATTTTTGTCCAATTTTTCTCAGCAATCACTCATCATGCTCAATTGCTCATCACAGATGCTTTAAGTTTTAGCACACTCTTTCTTTAGCCATGCCGTATGTTGGAATTGGTTTTAGACGAATCTGATGTCAACTTCCTGATTATCTGTGCATCTGTCTGTACCACAAATAGTAAATTTTTGTCACAGTTTTCTCCAAAACTACTCATCACATTTGGAATTGGTTTTAGACGAATCTGATGTCAAATTCCTGATTATCTGTGCATCTGTCTGTACCACAAATAGTAAATTTTTGTCACAGTTTTCTCCACAACTACTCATCACAGTTGGAATTGGTTTTAGACGAATCTGATGTCAACTTCCTGTTTATCTGTGCATCTGTCTGTACCACAAATAATAAATTTTTGTCACAGTTTTCTCCACAACTACTCATCACAGTTGGAATTGGTTTTAGACGAATCTGATGTCAACTTCCTGTTTATCTGTGCATCTGTCTGTACCACAAATAACAAATTTTTGTCACAGTTTTCTCCACAACTACTCATCACAGTTGGAATTGGTTTTAGACGAATCTGATGTCAACTTCCTGTTTATCTGTGCATCTGTCTGTACCACAAATAATAAATTTTTGTCACAGTTTTCTCCACAACTACTCATCACAGATGCTTGATTTTTTAGACATGAAATATGGTTGGATTCATTTTTGTACGAATCCATTGTCAATTAACTTTGTTTATTCCTGTCTGTCCATATTCACATCAGAGTGAGGGTATTACTAGTGAGCACTGGCTCACAGAAATCAAACAAACAAACAAACAAACAACCAAACAAACAATAACATAGTTACATACAAAGAACATCATACAACTGCGTTACTGCTCAGATCTGAGAAAATCTGCAACAGAATCAATGATTTTTCTAGATTTTGTCACACGCACACTGTTATCTGTTATCTCTGTCAGCACATCCTGTACTCCCTCCCTACCATTTCTGCGATAAGCCAGTTGTAAGTGTGATAAGGAGAGTCCACTGCTGGCAATCTTATTTCCCATTCCATTCGAAATCACCTTTTGGTCCAATAAAGGCTTTAGTGTGCTCATTAGACTTTTTGTTGTGTTCTTGTGATGGAATATGGCAAAGGCAGAGTTTGAAGTGAAAGATGCAGCATTTGACTTCAGGGGAAGGTCCTGTATGGTCCAACAATCTCTTCAAGGCTAAGACATCCTGTAATGAGTCATGCGCACTGTATTTGTCTTGTAGAATTTCTTCGAAGAGGTGTAACTGTGAGTATGATGAAAGGTTTGGATGCGAAATTTTGAAAAGAGGTAAGGTATCAATGAAACCAATGACTGCAGATGAGAATGCCTCCAAAATGTTTAATTTACTCAAAATGTTGAACAGCACAGGAAGGTCAAACACTTTGGAGTTGTGTCCAACTAGAACAGCATCTGACTCCGATTTCTTCATGAAGTCGATAAACTGGATCAGTGCATCCTTAATGCTGACTGTCTCAACTTCCTCATCATTGTGGTACATTTTATTGTTGACTACTTTTATTCCAGTAATTTCTGTAGCTTTTGAGGACATTGGTTTTTCTGGAATGATGTATTTGTTGAAAACCTCATCATTTCTAACTGCAGACAACTGCACAATATGAGAATCCCTTGCTAAAAATAAAAAACAAATAATTTAATTTTGATTGTAACGCATCATTTGATTGGATAAAAAATTAATCTAAATTGTATAATCTGGTTTGCTTACGTCACAATGACTTACATCAAATTGTATCAATCCGCTTGACGTTACGTTTAAAATATGAACTATTTGAAGGCGTTATAAAGAGAAAATTTGTCTTGTTTTATATTCTTGATGATTGAAAATTAAATCATAAGGAGTGAATTAAATGGCAACCCAAATTATACTGCTACAACCTGGGTTGGAGCAGTTTACGCTTTTTTATAAACCGCTTTGAGGTTTAGAAAGCGTAAACTGCCCCAACCCAGGTAATACAGTATAATTTGGGTTGCTATTTAATTCATTCCTTAAGTAAATTCAAGTTTTTAAAATTAAAAGCATTAAAAAAAATACATACAAAAATTGATATATTGTAAATGTATTATATTTAGCATGTATGATATTTGGCAGAAATTGACTTTTGAATAAGTAAGCGTAGATTTGATTTAGCGCATTTCTTCATTTTCTTCTTTATGTGTATATGTGCAAGACATTTAGCGTTGTACTTGATTTAGCGGTTGCTGCGTTTCGCCAAATCCGCTATTAGAATACACAGCCAAATGTAATCCGTTTACAGTATGCATGATTTAAAAAATTTTGAAACATTATAATAATAGTAACCCTCTTCCCCAAGACTTAACTCCTTCAAAGATGCTTGAATTCTTTCAGAATATGCAATTTCTTTTTAATCAGTGTCCTCAGAAGGAAGGGTAAAGTTTTGAAAGATATAAAACATGCTCAACTACTTGTACCAATACCGGAATTATGCAAGAGTCTCCATTTCTATTCGTTTTCTATGATAACTCTAGTATTATTCCTTCAAAATGCATACAAAAGAAATACCGGAAGAGGGCCATAACCATCAGCATTGACTTAACATTTAAATCTAGGTTCTTACCGAGTCCAGTAGTTTCCAAATCAAAATAGATCTCTTCAGCATTTAACAGCTGACTTGAAGGGAGATGATCATACTTTGGAATTGTTTTTGGAGCTGGAATTTCAACGATGTCAGAGGCCTGCTGGAGATCACATCCTGTTAAATAACTGATGCCTTCCCTTGTTTCTTTTGTAGAAATACTTTGAATTCTGTAAAGAAGATGTATACTGTAAAACAAATGATTCTAAACTGAGGTCTTACAAAAGGCCTAGCAAAATAAACAATCACCTAATGTACAGCTAATAAATTAGGAGTTGTAAATAAATGAAAATCCTGAGCACATCGGCAAGGAAAGAGCACAAAGTAGACCAGAATAGAAAAGTTATGGTACATGTAATTTACTGAAGGGGGGGGGGGGGCTTAAATTTTATCACTACTTAAGAATGCCTCCATATCAATACAGCATATAACTTTTTTAACATTTTGTTCGTATATATTACTTAGTAATAATTTGAATTTGATTCCCCACTGTTTCCCTCCCTACCACAAAGGATCAGGATTTAAACAAATTTAAATCTTCAATACATGAGGATGTTTACATTTCCATATGACTAAACATAGCTTCTCTTTTTTTTTTCGGGGGGGGGGGGGGGGGGGGGGGGATTTTTTCCCTTTATTTTCCTATGTAAAACTTTGATCCACCATGTATGATTTGAAAAAAAAAATTAATTCTACTTTACCTGAGGATGCTTCCATATTAATATCACCAATCATAGCTTTGCTATTCTTGAGAATTTTTTAAAAAATATATTGTACTGTAAAATGCAATTGTGGCCCCACCCTATCCCTGGGGGTCATGATTTAAACAATCTAGAATCTACACTACCTGAGGATGATTTCATATCAATATCACTTATCATGGCTTTGCAGTCCTTGAGAAGATTTTTAAAGATTTCAAATTCTCTATATATTCCTGTGTAAAACTTTGATTGGCTATGTGGTCCCACCCTATCCCCCAGGGTCAAGATTTGAACAAACTTGAATCTACACTACCTGAAGATGATTCCATATGAGTTTCATCTTACCTGGCCCAGTGGATACTAACTTTGTAGCAAGTTTGGTTGAAATTGGCCTAGTTGTTCTTGAGAGGAAGATGAAAATGTGAAAAGTTAATGACAACAGATACATTTTTATCAGTAAAGCTCACTTGAGCTTTCCGCTAAGGTGAGCTAAAAAACTGGGTATGTAGGTAGGTAAAATTTTTATTTTAAGATTGCAGCAAAGCAATATGCCCTCCCTTCTTTGAAAAAAATATTTATCAAACCATGCTATTTATAACAAGCATACCGTAAATCTTTGGTGATTCAGAAAACAAATCTTAGTAACATGCAAGATATTAATTCCCACTTAAATTCATACTTATCATCATTCACTTGTTCTTGGTTTATTTTCATTTTTGAGGTTGACAAAAGGTTTTTTACACCTGACAAATGACAATCAAAGTATACTAGTACGTACTTCCTGGCTTTCAATTCTCTCCTTCTCCTTTTAAATTTCTGTGTCACTGAAATGGCCTTCTGTCGCTTTCTTTGTAAATCCCTCAGAATGCACTGTCGTCGAGTATAGTAGCCAGGAGAGAGGCCCAATTTCTTGTTAACCTTTAATAAGGATAAAAGAATCTATTATGTACAACTACAATGTACATACATATACAATACAATCTGCTTTTGATTAAAATTTGCAGAATTTTCAAATGTAAGAGATAACTTGAGTGGTTCAACTCAGATATGACACAATAAGCATGAAAAAATAAAAATTTACAAACCTTTACAAGATATCTGTGTCCAACATTTTTCTGGGCTACACATGCAGCAACTCTATATCTGAGGCTTGAAGAAGAGCTGTAATGATGGGTCTTTGGGGCTTTTGCAGACACCATTCTGTGAAAACTCTCATTCGACTGTGTGCTTCCTAAGCATGAAAGACGATCAGAATGACTTGCATATGAACTGAAGACTTCTTTCAGATCATCCTGAAGGAACCTATCTTTCAGGGGTTTTCCATGTGGAAGTGACTTGTACCTCAGGTTAGGGTTGTTAATGAAGTTGCACCACCTTGAGGAGCAGTGTTGGTGATCTCCAAATATGTGTAATGGAATTGATGAAAGGTCTTCTTTGATTTGAGAAGCATTTCCTTTTCCCTGTGCTATGGAGTAACTGAAGCATTTCTGAATGTACTTTATCACAGACAAAGTTAGAGATGAATGTTTTTTCTTCAAGGTAAACAAAGAGTTTGTAAACAGTTTCTTTAGATGATTTTTATCAGACAACTTCTTAATATCAGCATTGACATTAGCTTTCAGTCTTGCAATAGTGGTAGAGTCCTCATCTCCAATGATTCCATCAATGGTTATTCCTTTACTTTTCTGTAGATCTTGGACCATCTCAATAACCATATCTGCCTCCATGGCCTTTGAACTACCCTCCCAATTCTTTGAGCACTCATGGGCTGCTGGATTCTTGTTGGTTGATTCAGCTACACTGCATACTCTGCAATTCTTAGACCTCAGAGAGTATGACAATACTTTGTCGGAGAGAGGACCAACCATGGAACAATGACCTGAAAAATTACAAATTAGAAAAACTGTATAACTTATAGATGTATTCGTTGTTTTTATTAAAGCATTTTTCATGCATTTCTTAACTTAATAAAATGTATGTCTTAATACTTTGGCAAGGAAAATCAAACTCGATCACTGATGTTACATGTATGCATTTGGTAATAACCTTTAACCCCTTTAGTCAGCAATGAACCTGTGCGTCCAGTGCACTATAGCATAATTAGGTCAAATATTTATTTTTCATGAGGGGTGCTGTATAATTAATGCAAATCGTTCAACTTTAAAAAAGTAAACAGTTGCTATAAAACGTGTTTGCAGGATGCAATAGGGACCAAATTCCTACTTCTTTGAAGTTAGTGTTCTAAGTATTGACAATGCTTTGGTAAATAATGTTTCTAATAAGTGTCGTTAAAAATTGGTTGCGTGCCATAGAGCGATTAGCGAATACGCTAACTGTGTAAAATCACCTAATATTTTAATATTTTGATTTGACTCATTATGACTCTTAATGATTTTTCTCCTATATATATTCCCGTGTAAACATTATATCCTTTTTTGGCTCCATTATCCCACCTTGGGTCCATATTTCGAACAAAACTGAATATGCTTTACCTGCATGAGCAACATAACTATTCATGGCTGTTCTTTAGAAGAATATTTTACAATTTATATGGACAGTTGAACTTTGAGATATGTGTCTTTCTAAATTTATTGCATCTGTTTGCATACATATTTAATGGAATCAAGTCCTAAGCAAACTTAATGCATAGTTTATGTTGGGCACAAGCGGAAAGTAATCACTCTAATCATCAATATTTTTTTTTATTTTCCTAAAATTTGTCTACTGTAGAAGCATAAATTTTCGTGGGCATAAAATTTTGTTGTTTTGACATCAAAAATAATCTCGTCGTTGTTTTAAAACTAACCCTAGGTCTAAAAAAAATATGTTTGTTTCCTGTAACCCGACCGACCCATTCAAATTACCCCCCGGGTGAATTTTTTTTCTGACAAATGGCAAAACTTCGTTTGATCAATCAGCTGATTCCATTTATTAAAAAAAGAAAATTAGCTTGTAGCTTAACTTGAGACATAAAATATGTCAACCTAGTTTACATTTAAGTTTGATTAGTTATAAAGAGTAATCATTATTATAACAACAATTTCCCCCTACAACTTTCTGAAGATCGTTTTCTGCCGCTAGGCAGCCATTTTGGATGCCATGTTGGGTGTCCACTGTAAATATGACACCTGGTATATTGAGTCCAGGGATGTTTGACAATTCATAAGAAAAAAAAAAATCCCGACCTACCGACCCTTAATTTTTTTGGAATGTTACAGGAAACAAACATATTTTTTTTAAAGCCCTATTCAATATATAGTCATATAAAATTTCGTGTGGGATTTAATTTTGTTGAATTTTGTTAACGGAATAAACAAAATTTAATCCCCCCGAATATTTGTGCTTTTACAGTATTTTTACCTGATAAACTATCATATGTCTTTCCGCTACCCCGTTTTTGCCATCCAGCATCTACAGCAACAACTAGTCCATTTTCGTTCATCTCTCTGAAAAATAGTTAAATAACAGACATCAGTTATTAACTGTGAACCTGTCTCCTTTAGAACACCCCCTAATGTGCATAACATTCTGCATATTTATCAACACAAATTATACTGTACATGACTAAACCTTATATTTATCAGTATATCAGATTCTATTAACTTGATCACTATCAATTATTATTAGGTATTCCCTATGATTTTCATTTGGGGATCAAAACTAAAACACGAGGCTCTTGGGGCTTGGGCCACAATACTCTAGGAAGTCACTGTCTCTGTCCAATCTAATTAAAATTATTTGTTAGATCCACTTGCATACTCGCTACACAAACATCTAACAACATCTCATTGAGGGTCACGTCAGAGGTCAAATTCTAATCAACCAATCAAATTGTCTCTTGCAAAATCATTGTTTATTTGTTGACGTAATTGAAGAAAATAATTGTCTCTTGCAAAATCATTGTTTATTTGTTGACGTAATACATGAAGAAAATTACAGTCTAGGGAACATCTCATTGAGGCCGATTTTGTCACCTGTTTCTCACAAATTCTAATCAACCTAATTTTCAATTTATTGTCTCTTGCAAAATCATTGTTTAAACGTTTGAAGTTTTAGCACTCTGAGTAGCACTGCAATGTTATTGATTGTGAGCAATTAAACTTATAATTTGATAATTAATGATACTTATTAAAGGCGTTTTACATGTTGAAAATATCTAATTTGCGATTTACACCTGCTTTCACCTGAATTATTTATTCACAGATAACAACTGTTGTAAATGCTAGGGGTGTAGCAATAGGATGTTCAGATGCAGCAATTATCTAACATCTAATTTTGATTAGACTGTGTCTCTGTCACTCTTCAATTTTTTTTCTTCAATCAAATTTTCCTTTTTTAATTCATTCTAGGAATGAATTTAATAGCTACCCAAGTTATACTGTATATCCTGGGTTGTGCCAGTTTTGGCTTTCTATACAGCGAGGCTTTCATTTCAAAGCAGGTTACACTATTATAACTTGGATAACTATGAAGTTAATTCCTTATAATTTAATTCTCCATCAATAAGTAAAGAAAATAAGACAATTTTTCCTTCAAAAATGCATGCAATTAGTACATACATGTATCTTATATGTAAAATTAAATGGGTTGTTATGTTTGTGACATACATGTTAGTAATTGTGACTTAACCAACACAGGTTATACCATATGACCACTACACATGTATGCTGGACACCCATTGATCTGATCAGAAAAGCTCTATTGCGCCTTTGGCTCATTTGAGCTAAATAGTGAGATTTAAACTGAATTTATATTGTTTACACACTCATTCATCATTTCCAGTTCCTTCTGCAAAGCATCAGACATAGACTCTGCAGCAATATCTTCAACAGCTCTGCCTATCTCTTTCTGTCTTTTGTCCAGCATGGCATGGCTTACAGGTGGTATATTCAGCTCAGAAAGGAGACTGTTGACTTGCGTTGCACCAATACCAACATGTACAATTGCTGTAAATACAAATTCATAAATGTAAAAAAGAAATCAATCTAATCACTTTAAACAAGAAGCTTGTGAAATACAACACTCACCTTAGTCTCATTTATTTTCTCTCTTTATTACCAGAAATTAAAAATAGAACCCATACTTTTAACAAACTAAACCCCTAGGGGTAATGGCAACAAAACTTGAATTGATCTACATTAGGATGATTCAATATCAATATGATTAATACAGTAATAAGGCTTTGCTGTTCTACAGAGAATTTTTTCCATCTGAATAGTCAAGTGGTTTAGAGAACAAATCAAAAAAAGTCCCATTCTAACTTGTTATACCCTTTCTATGATGTGAATATAGGTTCTTTTGTGAATATACAGGCAGACACATGGATAAATAGGAAGCAGACATTGGATTTCTATAAAAGTGAATTCCATCATATGGCATATTGCCAAAACAAGGTGTGACTGTGTGGTAAAACACAAGAGTAAAACAGTATACCAGTACCCACTTCCCTCTCCTTTAAAGCATATTTTGAAAAGTTGACAGACAGATAAATGGAAAAAGATCAGAAAGCTGAAATGAGCCTCTGGCTTCAATAAGTTAAAAATAGCTTGCCTTCTCATCAAGTTTTTATTCTGAATTAAACATTATCAGGGGCGGATCCAGGAATTGAAGTTAGACGGGCAGGGTTCGACATTAACGTTAGTCCGTTAGTCTCAGACTAATAAGTCTCAGACTAATACATTTTCATTTGGACTAATAAAAGTTGTGGCGTATTAGTCCGAATGGACTAATAAAGTTTTCTGGGGGAAAAAATTACCGAAGTTCTCGACAACTTTCACTGGAAAACCCGTATGTATTTTTAGCTTTCTTGCATCTTGGCGGAAAGTTATGTAATTCTGAGTCAATTCGGCACTTAATTTTAGGACTCATTGGAATGAAATTAAACATTTTAGGGATTATGATTTATTATGACTCATAAAGAAAGATGTCGGGCATTTGGATGTCGTAATCATTTATAGAGAATAATGAGATCGGGAACACGATCCTAGTTCCTGATCAGGCAATTTCAACAAATATTGGTATAAAACATTTCATGTAAACGCATGCTTTGTTTATTACAAAAAAAGTATAAAAAGTACCTTGAAATGTAAATTCTATTGTTTAATTATATTTTTGACGGACTCATAAAATTGCCTGTGGACTAATAAAATTAAAGATGCACTAGTCCGGCTAGACCAACGCCGAAAAATGTTAGTGTCGAACCCTGGCGGGTTGGGCGCCAGATTCAGGCAGGGGGTCTGGGGGCCGCCTTGAGGCAAAGCCCTGGTGGGGGCCAAGGGGGCGAAGCCCCCCGAAGCTCTTGGATTCTAGAGGTTTTGTAGGGTAAAAATGAGGTCTACCGAGTAGACATCAGAAACATTTCCTCGACAAAACTATGTTTTATGCTAACTTTGACAATTTCAGGGGGGGTGCGCGCCTGGTGTGCCCCCCCCTTAAATCCGCCACTGATTATATCAATTTATAGATACATATACCTATTTACTGGCTATGAGGACAAAAGCAAGTTTATTGTCCCCCAAGACAGCAACAATTTCTCAAGGTGCGTCCAAGTTGCTGTTGAGGGGGACAACAAACTTGCTTATATTGGAATAGACAGGTAAAACTCAATCAGGCTCTTGTGACTTGACAATAATAAATATACATGTAACTGATGTAGGGGATGTGTACGTTAAACTTCTTACCTGCTGATAGCTTTGTATTTACATCCCACACTCTTCCATGTTTTTTCCCCGTTTTTACATGGTTAATATGATTACACTTTGTATTGCTGCAACAGACCTGAAATGTTAATGTAAAATCAATGAATCCCTAATTACAGGTCACTGTTCTAAATTCATTCACCATTAATGAAATCAAATGCTTGGGAAAAAAGAATTTAAATATGCATTACTTCAAATTACTTCAAAGAAAAAAATGTAACATCTTTCAAAACTAAAAATATGGATATATGGAATACTGCCTGTTTTATATGGAGAAAAATTCAAGGAAAAACCTTTCAAGGTTGTTTTTATACAAACTGTGCAAAAATTGGTGAGTTCATACCTTTAACAAAGAAGCTAAACCATATGTCAACACAGAAATAGTGTGTGAAAGTTGTAATGGTAAGCCACATTTACAACATCCCCGCAAGCCCTCAGCTAACACTCCAAGTTCTACTACTCTCCTCCCCTCCTTCCAATCCTCAGATGTAGTCACTTCTTCCCCATCCACCACCTCCTCTCTTTCCAGTATATTCAAATTTGGCAATTCTATGAATAATGAATAAAAATTATCACCATTACACATTCTTTATTATCTACTGTAACACATCCTGACTAGTTGACTGTTTAGATACACTTACTAAATTCCAAGAACCAGTTTTCAAAATAATTCATAGTGCCGATATACAACATATTTTTCCATATACCGATATTTCTCAAGATATTCTGAAATCAATCTAAAATATGATCTACTTTCTTTTACTCGACATTTGCTTGGGCCCCTGGTCATTCACATGTAAACAGACGGTGTATGAGGTGCAGCGAAGAGTTGCATAGCATTTGCAAGATCTTTCAACATTTTAAAGTTGATTTCTTACTCCAGATTGTAAGGTTAAGTAGTCTGTATTAATAAGTTAAAATCTGCATCAACAACTACACCGCCATTTTGATTATGAATGTAAAAGAAGCTATATGGTTGAACAATTTTTTCCCGTAATGCATTATCATGATTATATACCTTTCTATTTTCAAAACAATTAGACCGCTAACATTTTGTTTGTGACTTAGTAAGATCATATGATCCAATTAAAGAAAAATCATGTAAATCTCAAATTCAAATGAGCAAATATTCATTGAGTTTAGAATAGACTTTGGAGAAAATTTGTCCTGTCGTTCCCGCTTAACAATTAGTGTTGGGCCCATTGGCAAGCTGATGTCAATTAAAAAAATTTAGGTCAATTTCGGAATTGATTTCATAATATCTTAAGAAGTATAAGGAATTACGGAATGAAATTTGAAGGAATGAAGATTGTTTATATATGGATAGATATGGATAAAAAGTAAATTTGTAAAGCATTCAATTTAAAAGAATTTTATTGGTGAAAGTAGGTACCCTATGAAAAGAGTTCCATACCTTTATTTTTTTTTTAACACCTCAATTTTTTTTCTAAGTGATCTAAAGGCCTGTGGGTCAAATGAGTATATCTTTCATCACGTGCAGTGTATTAAAATAAAATACAGTAATTATCTTTGATTAGTATTGTCATGTAAGGTAAGACATCAGCAAATGTAATTTTTTTTTGTAACAGCTAGGCCTAGTATATATATATTTTATTGAAATCCACATATAACATCATGTATAGTTAAATTTATTATTATCAAATATGATTCAAATTTCCATGTTGCACTTTGATTACAATAGGCCATGTGGTTTTCAATAAAATACCCCCCCCCCCCCAAAAAAAAATTATATTTTTAAAACTTTGTTGTCAATCAGATGAAAACTTGTTTTTATCAAAATATATCTTTGAAAATTCAATTATATACTTGATAAAAACAAGTTTTCAATGTCTTAGTTATGTCATGTTGTTTTTCAATGAAATATTGAGAAAAATTCAATATCTTCTCTTTTGGTGCACATCTTTAACTATTATAATTTTTTTTTTTTTTTTTAAATAGCTACACGTAGTCATAGTTCAAAAAGTCTTTAGATTGGACCTGGTATATAAAATGAACATCAACAAATTCATGTACCTCCCTTTAATATTTCTAATATTTCTAATAGACCTATGTGTAATCATGGTAATTTAGATGCAGATATGAAAACGAGTCTTTTAGATTACGTATTTTACATGTACAAACCGTGATCGTGATCAACGCTGACAGGGGTTGCACTGGCGGAGTAATTGTGGTCTGTAAGGATAGCTCCCCTAATCCATCGAGTCAATTGCCCTGCAGATACTTTATCATATCTCTCCTTCTGCTTTTTCGAGACGAACCCATGGCGTCTGTACTTTGGTTTCACCATCTCAACCAAAGTTACCGCGCAGACCTTGACTTCTCGTCTGCTTTTTGTTTACATTATCGTAATCCGGTTCACATCCGCGAAATGTAAAATGCTTATTATATGTTTGTTTTCTGGCATAAAAAATCGTTATTATGTTACTTTCTATGGATGATGATTATAATTATTTGTAGAAACTATTAATTCTCTGCCGTATTGAATTCTTTATTATAACGACATTCAGACCAATTTCCGGCAGTTCGAGTTGCGCGGTGAATTCAATTTCGTCAGAAGCCCTAGTAAGTTTTTTAAAAGTGGGTAAAATTAAATGTTCACTGTCAAAAGCTTCATTTTAAATTCCTGAAAAGGTCGTATTGCATTGAATTCACATGTGAAATATGAAAGCCCTAGCACAAATTATTTACAAGTTTTGGCCAAGGTTAAAGTCTGGTATATTCCTGCAAAAGTTGGACAAACTCTAAAGTTAAGATCAAGAGGTCAAATAATTTGGTTCCCCATAGAAGTCCTTCATTTGTGAAAACACGTTTGAAAAATGAAAGTAAAAATTCCAATCAATCAAATGTTATGGGTAATGATCAAGTATTTGCACACAAATAGACAAACATATAAATAGACAGACAGACGCACAGGACAAAAACTATATACCCTCGAATCTTCCATTATAGGGTAAAAAAAAACCCAAAATTTACATAACCCTTAAATAAAATCAGCACCCATCGACTCTATGAATATGTAAAATTCAGAATATAGCATTTATGGACCTCCAAATGTATCAGAGGTGGGATGATATGTAGGAGTACGGGACCTCGGCCTGTCGACTAGTCAAACCCGGCCATCCGCAGTGTTCCTTGTTTTGAACGGGTAAAGAAAATTTATTTATTGTTTTCGCATTTAATTGGACACAATCTAAAGTCAGTTTAATTATAGGAACGTGAGGCTATTCCAGTTCAAAATCGGTAAAAAATTTAATTTGAACGTAAAAAGCGAATATCATATTCATGTGTAATGATGTGTAGCACTTCACTTATTCGCGTTAACAACTTTTTGAAAATATTGTTGCAAAGTACTCCTAAATATAACAAAGAATATAACAGTTTGAGTGCATTTTGTAGTCTTAGCAAAGTTCATCTTAAACTCTTGCTGTGATTCAATATCTTAAGTTATTTGTAAAGATGAAAATAATCATACCCCACCCACATACCAGGAATGCGCAGTTTCATTCATTTTCAGTGATCAATATCTTTAAAAACTTTCCTTTGAATGTACAGAAGGCTATGGAAATAACGAACAGTATTCAATATCAAAGTCCTTAAAACAATACAAAATACGAGCAGAGCAAACACGGACCTCCGAAACATCAGAGGTGGGATCAGGTGCCATGGAGGAGTAAGCATCCCCTGATGACCGGTCACATCCGCCGTGTGCTCCTTGTCATTTATATCGGGAAATAAAAGAAAATCCGTCTTCAATTAAGTGTATAAATAAAAGACTAAAAATAAGTATGAAAAACGTCATTCAGCATTTGAATCAATGATTAATAGTATTTGCTGACAAGGTCATTGTATCGACCATAGAACTTACGAAATGATGATTTTAAACGAGACTGCTGATATTCTTGTTTCACCAACTTGCTTGTCAATAACTTACCTCGTTTTAGAAATTGTTCGTACGTAGAGCATGCTGTTGCATATTGAATCAACTAAGATATATACACTCCGTTTGCAGGTGAAAGTATATTGCTGCATAAGTAAGGGAAGTTGACGATAGAAAAGTAAAAGTCATCACGTTTATCATATATCTTGGTTGTTAAATTACCATTACCGTCGTTTTCAATAAAATATCCAAGTATGAAACAGATGTGTCCGACTTTGTGGTATCTTTTATCTCAAGCTCACCAGGATATATCGTATCGACGAAGGAATGGAAATGACCATTGTTAATTGAAACTATGTCGTCGATATAACTAAATGTCGAGCTGAAGGCCAAAGCAAGTGTTTTCTTCTTTTCAAGCATAAGATTTTGCACAAATTCTGTTTCATATGAATATAAAAATAGATCTGCTAATAACGGAGCGCAATTGGTATCCATGGGAATTCCAATAGATTGCTGGAATACCTGGTCTCCAAAAACCACATAGATATTGTCAATCAGAAACTCAAGCATCTCTTTGATGTCAACTTCAGAGTGCTTGTGTGTGCAATCAGAATGTGTTTTAACGAAATTATTTTGCAAATGACCAATGACAATTTACATGTAAGTAAATTTAAGAGTTCCATTTCTATTGAAAAAGCAGCTGTCAATGATATCAATAAGCCTGGACTTTAGTTTATCGTGGGGAATGGTTGTGTATAAAGTTGAAAAGTCGTAAGTTTTTAAGCTGTTGATCTTGGTAAATTCTTAGGATTTCAAATTGTCCAATATTTCTTTGGAATTTTTGAGTATCCACATCTGATTTACACCACTTCTTGAATATATTGTTGCACAGTACTCTTGAAGTTTTTCGTTCACTGAGGCTTGGTTGAACATTTACTGGAACGCGTATCTTTGTAAGGATTTTTATGAAGTTTCGGAATCCAATATACATCGGGTAGTTCAAATTCATTTTGGCTCTGTGGAATATCCAAAAATATTTAAAACTGATATATGATTTTGAAGAATTTCTTCCTTAGAAAAAGAAGTATGAGTATAGGTAGGATTACCACTAAGTCTTGTAGAATTAAATCCAAGTTCCTCTAAAATACAGCAAAATAAAAGATAAATAATTTAGAAAAAAAATTCTTCTTTACTTGCCTATCAATAACTAATCAGAAATGTACAGCTAACATATAAGAAAAATATATATAATAAAAAAAAATGAGCTTCTGGGCATGAATGTCCACAGAGAAAATAATAAATTAAAATCAATAATTATCTGATTTATAGCCCAACAAAGCAACGTAATTAGAAACTTTCTGTATGTACACGTACATATAACAACAAACAGACCATCATATCTAGGGACTTTGGTTCGATGGAATAGCAGAAAGGTTTGTTGATTACATTGTTTTACCTTCTTCTATTTAATAAATATGTTCAACATAAGATTTTAAGATTTAACAACTTTACGCATGAAACACGTTGAAAAAATAAGGATGATAGAAATGGATAATATGAGAGAAAAAAAAACAAATTAAATCAAAACGAAAATTCCAACGCATAATCAATTGATTATAGAAGATCTTAAATGTATTTAAGAAAAAGAAGTTTTCTCTTATTCAGTTGGAAATAGGGAAGTGTCATATTATAAACTGAATGGTAAATTTAAGAAGCCCATTTTTCTTTGCAAAATATGAACACAAATTCCAGAAGCAGAGAGCCTTACTTTATTTTTTTCTGTAAAATACTTGATTTTTCCTACGAATTGGAAAGAGATCAAAAGAATTACCAAATTAATTAATTTAGTAACTTACAGAAAGTATTTTAGGCTAATGGTCAAAATTTGAGTTAAAATCACATATTTAAGTTTAGGAAAAAATACTTTTATGAAATTTTAAGGATTTCCATCCCTAATGGGACCAAATTCCCTACCCTTATATCGTCAACTAAATAATACTCTGATATTATATTAAAGCATTTTATAGTAAAAAAGGATTGACCACGAGAAAGTTTCAAAAATGTCATGAATTAAGCAGTAGTTTATTAACAAAGACTGCATTGAAGTCTATGGGGAAAAGCGTTTTTTCAAAATAAAAATTCAAAAAAATTGAATATCAATAAATCCTGCGGAGGAAAGATGTATTGAAACATTAAAAATAGAATGACAATTTAAAACAATTTTTTTACCGGCTAAATTTTTTAAATTGAATTTTTTTAATTTATTAAATAAAGGGGAGATAACTCTTACCAAAATTCAAGGTCATAAATTAGGACACATCCCACTATACATACTAATAGTAATATATGGGAAGTATGTCTAAATAAACTGAGTATTCAATGCCTACATATCTGTTATGTATTCAATTTCATTGAATTTGTTCCTATTAGGGATTGAATACCTTAAATTAAATAGAAACGAGATTGAAAACATGTCATGTTTCAATTGATTAAGAATACAATTTAACTTTTGAAGATTCATGAGGACATGAACTACGACGCTCAATGTCGGCATATTTTATGAAAATTGTTAGTGTATAAAGACAAATAATGACCCCCCCCCCCCCTAGTTATTACTAGTATTCGACGTCGAAAAGTGACCCCCAGTATTATTCGACGTCGAAAAATGACGTTTTGGTGTGTAGACAAAGTGTCATTACCCTTAAAGCTGAAATTTTAAGCGGGCAGAACAAATCAACCAAACAAGAGACCTATTGACCAAAATGCTCACCTGAGCTAATCTGAGAATAAATTGATGATATGTTGATCTCATTACATGATACAATACTTTCTTTAAAGGTCAATGCGATTACTCAAAATCTAAAGGAGTAAAAGATTTATCGAGCCCAAAAGAGAGTTGAAAATTATATTTTGATAGTAGAAAATCATCGTATACTGACAGAAAAAAAAACAGCATTAATTTTTTTTTGTCATATGATTCAACGAATAAATTGATGCAACCTGATTAAGCATACATGTCAGGTTTCTTGTTCACATTTGCTCAGGTCCTACCCAAACAAAATCACAGAATCGGAGTTAACATAACCACTGTTGATTTTGCGTTTGAAATATATTTAGGAGCAATGTAGGAAATAAATTTCAGGCATAGCATCGAAAGGGAAAATGGAGCATTATAAGAGGCAAAAATGACAAGTTACGTTAGAAATATCTTTGATGTACCCCTCAAAGACAGTATTTCATTCTTGAGTCAAATATTTTTTTTAATTGTACACGTATGATTTGTGTTTCTAATCTGGTATCTTAATTTTGATGACGTTCGTGATTTATAGAAGAATAATGTCCGCGGCATTTCATTTATTTCGGCAATAATTGTGTAAGAATATGATGTATCTGTCATTTGGATTAAAACCGAGGACCAATGACGTCATTAGTGTACATCATGTAACTTCGGAATTGATCTTGTGTAAAGAGAATTTGGCTAAGACAGATATCATGAATATTGAGTGAAATTCATATGAAGTTAAAGTTTACTGAACAGGTATTGTAATTCATTTTCGTCCATTCTTTCTTTGGAAGACAGTCAGCTATTTTAGTATCCCGGTCGGCCTGTCCT